AAAGGCATGGTCAGTACTGTCATGAACTATTACTCATTCATCCTCTGCAATCCAGTGTTGCTCGATCTCACTCCAAATTATACAGTGATGATCCACCCTGCTACACAGCTGTTTCAGTTTTTCTTTGTCCTGGCTGTCAGGTTGTTGCACTTCTGATGGTGATCGTATGTTCTCGTTGCTTTTTTCAATCTTCCTTAATGCAGACAAGATCACGCAGCGAGAGTGACATCAGACCACGGCCCAAATCCTGTAAGATTCTATGATGTTCTATGTTCAGCAGTGTTCCTTTTGCATTGCGCCCCAATAGTCAGTTTAGGTGTATACACTTATCTTACACCTGTCAGTGAACAAACTGTGTAATAATAAATGTCATTTGAGTAACACAGTTGGCTAGCAAAATGGGAAAAGTTCTTTTGAATTCTTTTAAAATTCTTCAATGAGGGATTTTTGTTGTACTATGATTGTAACTAAGGAAACAATATGTATCCAAGTAAAAATTCCTTTATACTGCTACCTACGTACTAATACTACTGTCCCATGATTTTTTCTTCAGTTATTCGTCCAGTCATGGATCACCCACACACAAGAAACTTGAAAAAAACAGATCCTGTTGCAAAGTAAGATATTTCAGAAACATCGTCAGTATGGTTCTTTCAATTTCTGAAATATATACAAATACATAATGCAGTGATATGTGAGGCCTTTCTTTACAAACATTTCAACCATATTTTAGTCCTAAAATGTTTTTTTTTTCTTTTCTTTCCTCTCAGATATTTCCAGTACAAGCAAAACTGGGAGATGTTTAAGCCTCCTGGAGAAAAAAGCAGGAAAGAGCTGCACTGGGCCATCAGGGTAACCTTTTTGCATTTTATATTTAAGGGGAAAAAAAATCTGTCTACATTGTGCTGTGCTTTTTATACTTATGTCTACATGTACAGTATCATATGACTAACATAGTGTTTTCTGTGTACAGGAACAACTTATGTATCAGCCTCCACCAGTAAGTAACATCCATTTGAATTGCTTTCCCAGGAATATTTTTCTCTTCACCTGTACAGTATGCAAATATGAAATTTAGCATTTCTCTCAAATCAATTTTATAATTCTTACAGCCTAAGCCTCAGAGAACGTATGTGCCCAACACCTATGTGGTGCCTACAGAAAAGAAACGTTCTGCCTTAAGATGGGAGATTCGACATGACTTGGCAAATGGCATCATTCCAACTAAAATCACCTTCCCTTGATGTGACTCTGTGAATGCCTATTTTGTGGTTGTTGTATTAATGTTTTTTATTTATTGATGTATAATCTTTTTCTGTGAATGGTATGCTTTGAAATGAATGGCAGATCACTGATTATGAAATAAATTTTTTTTTTTAATACAATGAAAGTTCATGGCAGGTCACTGTAGGGGAGTTTGAAAGGGTACAGTGGTGTGAATCGAGTGTCGTGCCACAGCAACTTCTTTTCTAGAAACTTCACAGCTTCGAGAGTAAGGACGAGGCTTTCATGTTTCAGCATGCTGTGAACGTTCAGGCCTGTAAGTCAAATTAAAATTTTAGTGGAAAAATTAAACACACGGCTCAATGGTCATCCAGTGTTCACTGTAAAACTGCACTGATGAACTTACCAATTGCTGGAATGATATTTATTGTCTTTAAGCTTTCTGTAGCCTGCAGAATGTTCTGTGGGAACTCCTCCCCTCTAAATAAGGAAAATGATTTGAAATAGTATGTTTAGGAAAATTTAGGGATGAACAGAAAATTATTATTGCAAAACAAAGAGCTTTAAAAACACTGATACTCACACATCTACAATCAGGACTGAATCTCCCCACTGTCTGTGTTTGGCCAGGTCTTGTAAGTAGTGTGGGTCTGGAGTGGGAATCTCCAAAGAATCAACAATGTGAAGATAATCCTGGGGAATTTTTTAATAACACAGATGTTTAGATTGCTTTACATTACAATATAGATAATATATCTAAAGTAGAAATCTACTTTTGCTGGCCTTCATCCTGTTACCCCTGGGTAGAGATTATTAAAATGTACAGGGCAGATTTACAAAAAGAGGTTCTAATTACAGACAGTCTACCAACACTGCACTGGTGACGGTGTCCAATTTAGCAGAGACTGTCTACTAAAAACTTGCAGTCGAATAAACAAAACTTTGCAATAAACATAAGACCAGCACAATATTACCACATTTGGCTCACATGTTCACTGCATGAAAGCCACTTCTGCCAGGTAGAAGTAAAAAGAAAAAAAAAAAAAAGATCCTTCTGTTTCAGGTTTAAAGTGACTCATTAGGCAGATATAATTCATAAGACTTATTTTCTCAAGATTTTAACTTTTCAAAGAATCATTACTCTTTGAGAAAGTATGTCATTATTTTGACAATACATCAAACTTCAAGAAAATAAGTAGTTATTGTAACTGCGTTAATTTTCTGCTGGTGGGAAGAGCCAAACTTAACATAAAACGTTAGTAAATCTGCCCCTTGGTCATATTACACAGCACACCACACCTTAGTCTCAATATTTCAAAACAAAAACCCTTTTTTTAATATTGTCACATTTAGTGACCCTTAACCTAATCCCATTTTGAGAACACAGAAAAAGAAGATTTGACTTCAGTGTTGCACTATTTTTGAAGGACAATGAATGAAAGTTCCTGATAAGCCAGGGAATGAGTGGAATTTTGCACCTGCTGTCTTTTACTGATTAATACAGAAACAAAAATATCCAATCTTCACTTACCTGAGCCAGTTTTGACGTCAGTGCAATTTTCAGTCCTTGTACACGCACCTTCATAGGCAGCATGTAATAGTAGCTAGTGGGCCCCCTTGGTCCGTGTGCAACACCACCTGATACAGGAACAATGGAACTGGTTTGACTCATATTTACTCATGGAATTCAAAGTTTTGCCAGCTGTTAACACTGAATTAAGGCTATAGAAATATGCAGTACTGACCACTTTTGCTAAAGTACAATCTCACCTCCCCTCCATATTGGTGAGCGAATGCTTCCATGACGGGCGCGTCCACTGCCTTTCTGTTTCCAGGGTTTCCTACCTCCTCCACTAACCTCTGCCCTGCTCTTCACTTTGGCATAGCTCTGTAGTTTTATTAAATATTAGATATGATTAGAATAACACAAGGTTTCCCACTTACATATCAGCATGCTAGCCAAACAACATGACCAGAATATTCTTACATTTACTTCTAGTTCTCTGTATGTATTTCTGCTGTAGAGACAGTACTCCAAGTTATCTTTGTGAATGTGTGTGTATAATGGTGTATGTATACATGGCTACTTACAATTCTCTTGAAATTCCTCTGCCAGACCTCCACAGCATGAAGTATGTCCAATCTTGTTCATAAAACGAAACAACAAAAATAAATAAAAAAGCTCCGACTCCATCTTTTCTGTACAACAACAATATGCTGTATTAAACGATGAATGTTGCCTTTGGTAAATTAAAGTTTTAATAATGTGGCAACTCTGGCACAGAGACTGTATTAAACTCTAATTTGGACTTGTTGGCATTTTAAAATGCATACTGCAGATACAAACTTTAAACTGTGACAGCTGTGACAACTAAAAGCTACCACAGATTTGTCTAGCTGTTTTTATATCAGGTTTGCATAGAATGGCTTCAAAAACCTTGCCTGTGTCCACAAGCAGAATAGTATCCTTTGCAAAACAAAGTGTGTGTAATCTATAAGGAATGAATGTAGCTGTATCACAATATTTATGCACAGTTAATGTGTTACATATAATGTGTCCTTTGAAATGATTAAACATATAATACCACACAGGTCACTGCAGGCTTAAAGGGATGGTTTACCTGACGGGCACTGAAAAGACATCAGGGTGCAGGTCGACAACACCGAGCGGTTCACTATCTCGACTTTCCAAAGACTGCAGCCATGTCTGAATGGGTGCAAGATGAGCTGGAATATCAGCCTCACACCGCCGCAACACTGGCAGATCAGCAGAAGCCGGAAAAGCTCTCTCTGAAACGGATTTACACAGATTGAGACTACAAGGAGCACTCTTAAAATGCTTCTTTAAAACCGTAAGGCGATGACACAAAACGTGTACTGGAAAAAGGTAAATGTGAGAAAGACAAAAACAAATATCAGTTTCAAACCTAAACTTACTTTCTCTCGGAACTCCAATCAGATTGGGAGGAAGTCGTAAATTCGACGGCAGAGGGCTTTCTCCAGAGAGAGATGAGAAGAGCTGGAGAGAATAGGAGAAATAGCGTTACAAACGCGGTGAGAGAGCAAACACAGATCAGCCAATGGAAGCTGCGGTGTTGATATGCGCCGTGATTAGCCACGGTAGCTAACGTTAGCAAGCTCATAGAAGAAACAGCAGCTTATAAATGAAACTAAAACCAATAATGTTGTGCTTACTTACACGTTTGGCGATGCCTCCTCCACATATTGTTAGCGTAGCTCTAAACATGACTAGATGAATTAAATACTCAAGATATAAACACAACACGCGGCATCGCTCTGACAGACTAACAGCTAGAAGGTCGAGCTGAGGCACTTTTCCGTCCGCAACATGTGACGTCAGGCCGCGTGTGGGCAACTGTATTGTACGTAATGGGATTTTTAAAAAAGTATACTGAACAAACATTTAAACGAATATTTCGAGCATTTCTGGAATCAACAAAAAATGTATCAATCATTTATATAATGTAAATCTCTGTTTACTATAAATTTGTCAGGTTTGAAAAACGAATCATTCTAGACATTATTATATCCTGACCTAATAATGAGATTACACAGCTGTTTAATCCATTTCAGAATCTTCTACAACTCTGTTATATATGTATATGTGAAATACAAAAAAAGTTTGCTTTACATTATTTACCTTTCTGATGTTCTCTTCTAATGACTGGAAATTAATTTTTGCTTTCTTTTCTAAAATGAATTACAGAGAGCTACAAGGCTTCACTGCATGAAAGTAAACACAGTTGAAAAATCTGTTGCAGTTTGCACAAATGATTGCCTTTATTTGAAAATGTTACAAATGTTACAGCTGCATGAAATTATGCCCTTCTATTTTTTTCAATGAAAGGACTCTTACAAAAGGCACAGTTGTGTATTTCTTTTCAAAAGGTGATTGTGATTGCATAGTGCTCTGAATTCCTGCAGACCCCAAATGATTCAGAACATAATAAATTAGAAAAAAAATTAAAACAATATACAGTATGGCTGAAAATGAATCACCATCAAAACAGATAAACTGTTCAGAACATGAAATGGGTCTGTAGATACGCAATCAATTATTCTGACAGCAGAATTGCCATTTGCATTTGCATATGACAGAAAGCATGAGCAGAGGAACAGATTATGTTTAGTTATTGGGGGTGTACTAGTTCACATCAAATCCAGGCTTAGAACAAAAAATCCTACATTTATCAAAAAGCTTTTCTCCACTGCTTTTATTTCAGTTATTTTGGCCACACAATTCAGCGGTCTCTCCTGATATGCAAATACTAATGGCAACATTTTTACAATGGCAATGAGCACTTCATGATCAAAACAAAATTTCAAGTATTATCTTTAGGATTCCGATAAGAATTGTCCAGAGGATGGACTCCTCCTCCTCCACTTCTTCTTCAGGGCTTTGCTGCGGATGCTTGGGCTGTCCATGACTCTCCTCTGAAAAATAAGAATCCTTCAAAAATGGATCATCTGTTAAAGCTGTCTGATCGTAATACACCTTCATCTCAAACTCGCTCTCCATGTGAGAGGGGTGTCCGTAGATACCGATTCCCACGGGTCTCACAAAGTCCCCTGGAACCACCACAACATCATAGCCGCAGGTGGCCGACTGAAGCTTGTAGGTATCAAAGTCTGGTCGCAGTGTTTTATCAGACACGTAGAGATCAGCATCACCCTTGAGGCTGCGCATGTGCAGGATGATGCGCCCATCATGGTTGAGACGCAGGTAGCTGTAGTTTCCTGCACCGATGTGGCCTTGGACTACATGAAGCAGGACCCATTCTTCAGGCACGGAGACCTCCTCATACGTCTGGAAGAGTCCTCTGACCTGGGAGAGGAGTACCAGCAATAACAGGACACCAAAGCACGGCATCATGGTCACTCCTGTCACCCAAGAAATACATCTGTGACCTGTCTGTAATAATAAGAAAATGACTGCAGACAACGAGTGCTTAAACAAAAAGCATAACCACAACCATCCCTCTTCCGTTATGACACATTTCTCATGTACTGACTGACATAACCAGTTTCCTGTTACTGAGTGAGCAACTTTCCAGAAGCTCTGTCTGTAAGAACATGGGCTGTAAACTGATATTGCAAGAGACGGATCTTACAGTTAAGACTGACTTCCAGGTTTATGGCAGATGAGGCTAAAAATACCTTCCGGACTTGTTTCCAGTGCAGAAGGAGTTTACGAATGCTTTTAGGTGTATTAAGATTAGTTGAGAAGTTGAGAACAAACTTCAAACAGCGTAGCAAAATAGACGCTTCCAAAACGTGCTGCAAACAGCGTATAAAGATTTTAGTTCAGTTAACTCCGTTGCAGCCTACTTATCTTAACAGAACAGCCAAATAACAATATATCGCCATTTTAGGTGGTCTAGTCTTGTATACGTTAGTGTACGTAAAGTACAGCTATAATTAGCTTGGTTAGCTAGCGTTAACTAGCCGGGAAGATAGTCGGCTAGGTACTGTCCAAAGAGAACTGGCTTGCTAACTGGCTAGTAACGTGTTAATATCATAATATCAACCTCTAGTTGTTAGCTTCATTTTTCAAAACATATCTTTACTTAGTAATATTGTCTTACCGGTGCATTGTTAAAAGTAACCCATTATGTTAAGCGCGCTGTGAAAACACTAGCCGCGGCAGTAAAGTTCACGGTCTCTTTTTCACCTCTGCACACCCGAGTCGCGTAGCGCCACCTGTCGGATGAGGAGCGGTAATCCTCCAGCGCACATAATGCAGCCAGCTGAAAGCACACAATGATCTAGATTTAACTGTAATTAATCAGGTGTACTTTATGGCAGATTACAATCACCAGAGGTTAGTAGGGTAGATTAGACTAACCATTCTCATGTAAAAGTATTGTTACATAAGTGATATGACTTAAGTAGACGTAAAATGTGTACGATTAAAAGAAGTTGAGTAGGAGGAAGAGGTATCAGAGGGAATTCTTCTGAAATGCAATTCTAAGCTGTCTTTAACCACTGTAATAGGACAGAAGCTCCTCACTGTATCTCTGTGCTGAAAACTTTCTGAATTTTTCAGGAACGTGAAAGAGAAAGACGTGTAGTTTCTGAAAAATGCCAAGCATTTCACTCTGAAATATTTATATTATAATATAGCAGATGGCGCTCTCTGTAAGAGACTCTTGTGGTATGTGTAGTTCCCCTTTTGTCCACCAGTGGGCGGTGAGTGTGTCAGTCTGAAGGTTAAAAGCTCTTCAGCTCCGCTCTGCTCTCGCCGGGCGCAGTGGCGTGCGCCTGTAATCCCAGCTACTGGGAGGCTGAGGCTGGCTGACCGTTTGAGCTCAGGGGTTCTGGGCTGTAGTGGGCTGTGTCGATCGGGTGTCCGCACTAAGTTCGGTATCGATATGGCGATCCTGAGGGAGCTCGGGACCACCAGGTCGCCTAAGGAGGGGTGAACCGGCCCAGGTCGGAAATGGAGCAGGTCAAAGCCCCCGTGCCGATCAGTAGTGGGATCGCGCCTGTGAATAGACACTGCAGTGCAGCCTGAGCGATACAGCGGGACTCAGTCGTTTATATTCACGCTCGTCTGACGCTTTATGTTAAATACAACGCTTTTTGGTATTTGTTTATGAGTTTGTGATTTCATAAACACATCATCATAAGAACTCGTCCTTTTTGAAAGATGATTCGTAGGTCAGTGAAAAAAAGCTGTATATTCATTGTATATAGCTGTGTACTACATCATTATTTGATGAAGTGTATTTCAGTTCTGTGCTACTTTTGAAAATGCCAAAGTAGAACAATTTTAAATGCTAATATGTCATGACCACCACAGAATTCAACAGTTATCAATGTATTTAAGCCAAGATATTTCATAAGAGACCACATTATAAATGTATCTTGGTATGATGAACTGTTTTAGTCTGTACAGGATTTTACTGCACAGCCAAACATCTAAGTTGAATACATTTTTGATAAGCTTAAAACACTGTCCCACTGTTACAAAGTTATTTTACCTGAAAAAAAAGTATCTAACAAGGAATTCACCTGATTTTTCAAAATATATCCATCATTATTGAAACGGATTTATTTATAATGGTGGAACCAGGGGTTGTTATGTCTGTAGGCATTTAAGCAATATTATTCGCTGTCTAATATGACCAGTGAACCTAGACATGTGTTTTTATATGTGATGATTAAAGCGGTAAATAAGTGGTACATCCAAAAAAGCAATTTCTTTGGGTTCTGTTTTTCCGTTAAAAGCTCTGCATGTATTTCTCCTCTCTGCATATAATTTAAAAATGTGCTTTTGTAGAAAAAGCATTGTCTAAAAAACATTGTAAAACAGTGTTTCAGGCATTGAGCAACATGTTCTTGACCATTACTGTGAGGTTAATTTTAGAGGCATTAAACTCTACAGATGTCTGGTTCCCATCTCCATCTCTGTAACCAGCTCTGACTTTCTGTTTCTCTAAAAAAGTGCATTTCACATCAAACCACTCTGAACTGATGTTGTTTACGTTTTAACAATATAATTGTACACAACTTTTGAAAAATCCATGGAACTCGCATTTAAACTGTTTCTTTTTCTTTCAGCTAAAGTGGAACAGTTTGTCTTCAACAGTGAGACAGTATTTTAAGCATAATAGAAGCCTCTATGATAAAACCAGTGCAGTATGAGCCTAATTCCAAACAAGGTACGGTATGTCAAATACTAATAAAAACAGAAAGCAGTGAAATTAATAAATTCTGTTTGACATGAAATAAATTAAAAACAATACAAAAACACAATATTGATGTTTTACCTTATTAACTTTTTTGTTTTTTTTTGTAAATATACACTCATTCCAACCTTGATGCGTGCAATATGTTACAAAAAGTTTGGGACAGGAACATGTTTACCGCTGTTACTTTTTTTTTAGCAGCATTTAATAAATGTTTGGGGACTGAAGACAGAAACTGATCCAGATTATTAAGCAGAGCTTTTTCCATTCTTCTGTTATAGAAGACTTCAGCTGTCCAACCATAAAGGCCTTTCATGGTTATATGTTGCTCACATTTTCAGTGTGAGACAGGTCTGGACTGCAGGCAGGTCAGTCAAGCACCCACACTCTCTGATAAAACACTCATGCTGTTGTAACATGTGCAGAATGTAGTTTGGCATCATCATGTTAAGATAATCATAGGTGTCTCTGAAAAAGACGACGTCTAGAAGGCAGCATTTAGTGCTCCAAAATGTGCTCAGCATGAAGGACTGTCAAATTACCTAACAGTACCCCCTAACATGACTTACTCAGGATTTTGACATTTATGCTGGTAAAAGTCCGAATGGACTTTTTCTTCTTTGGCATGAAGAACACAACGTCCATTATTTCCATGAACAATCTAAAAGATTAACTCCTCAAACTTTTGATATTACTGCTGGAGTTTTTTGCTGATGCATTTTTGGCAACATGACGAGTTTCAATCCATCCTTACTTATAAAGTGTTAGGTCATAAATTGCCATGTCCCAAGTTTTTTGGAACATGTTGCAGGCATCAATCTCAAAATGAGCTTATATTCATAAAAAACAATAAAATTGACAAGATAAAACATTACATATTTTCTCTTTGTACTGTTATTATTCACATACAAGTCAAAGTAGATTTGTAAATCATTGCTTATTGTTTTTATTTGCATTTCAAACTTTACCAACTTTTATTTGAGTTTGTAAAATACTGTGTAAATCAACAAAATAATTCACTACATTTGGCTAAAAGAATAAAAAATTATGATCTGAACTAAAGTTGATAGATTTGAAATAGACATCTCTGATTGATGGACTCCAGCATATTGAATGCACTTGCAAACTAACTGCAGCTGAGGCTTCACAACTCAATCTGCTCTCTATAATCCTCCATCCTCTTTTCATTGTGTCTTTTTTACTGTCCTTTCTACAGAGATTTTAACCATCTTCTTCATTTAAACTGTCTTTTTCTGACTGATTTAAGTTTTTCTAGTTTTGGTGTTACTTAGCTAAATGTAATCAAATGTTAGAATCATGTTGAATTATGTTTATATGCAACATGATTTTACACCATAACTTAATAATAAAAGCCTGTAGATTTAAAAATAATGATCTAAACTTGTTCATTGTCAGAACCTGCAGACTTCTGTACACCACAGACAGACATCAGTAAAGTTGACTACCACTAAGTAGCCTCATGTTGATGCCAACGTACATACATATGTAACTCCTGCCTATGTCGTTTATTTTAGCTACTTACACGTCTATTGAACTTATTATTTCATTAAAGTAAAAGCACTTTCAACTCAGGATGGTTTTAGTCTATTCCCAAGATATGAATACTGTGTTCTCTCTCAAAATACACCTGATTACTTTGTCATTGTGTGCTCCTGCTACAGTTGGTGTAAGTTAAATCACCACAGTCAATGCAAGCACATAAACAGATACCGAAAAGCATGATTTTAAAGTCATTATTATAATTAGTTTAACTAAAGTGTCAAAGTAAAAGACTGAGTCCCGCTGTATTGCTCAGGCTGCACTGCAGTGTCTATTCACAGGCGCGATCCCACTACTGATCGGCACGGGGGCTTTGACCTGCTCCGTTCCCGACCTGGGCCGGGTCACCCCTCCTTAGGCGACCTGGTGGTCCCGAGCTCCCTCAGGATCGCCATATCGATACCGAACTTAGTGCGGACACCCGATCGACACAGCCCACTACAGCCCAGAACCCCTGAGCTCAAACGGTCCGTCAGCCTCAGCCTCCCAGTAGCTGGGATTACAGGCGCACGCCACTGCGCCCGGCGAGAGGAGAGCGGATCTGAAGAGCTTTTAACCAGCAGACTGACACACTCACCGCTCTCTGGTGGACAAAGGAGGAATTACAGACACCACAAGAGTCTCTTACAGAGAGCGCCATTGAAAAAGACTGAGTCCCGCTACATGCCCTTCATTGTGAGATTTTTACATCTGTTTCTGAGGTTTCTTCTTCATCCCAGAAGAGTTATATTCCTCATCAGTGAGTGAGTCTTCACATCGCGATACATTGTGGAGTTTCTGTATTTCAGAGTGGTAAAAGGTCGCTTGGCTGTTTTGACCTGATAGGGTAAAGTGACACATGATTCAGAGGGTTGGTAAATAAAACTTGATATACAACGTGCATTCAACATAAAAAATTAAATGTGTTACATTTATTTCAAATTATACATTCAACCAACTTGGAAATAAAATTTTTATCTAGATGCATTGTTTTATCCCTTTTGAATGCACAATTTTGCGTCAGTGCAACCAGAGACACGTTTTGAGTTGAGCCAACGAAAACATCTGAGCTGCTGGAACGAAGTGAGGAAGAAAATATCTGTGCACGGCCCCTTCCAATTAGGAGACCAACACGAGGTGGGTAACTTGCATTTTTCTTCCTACACCTGCTGATATAAACAGTTGTTTTGCACAACGTTTCACGCTGAAAATTAGCCTAGTATTATTAGAGGGCAGATAACCCAGCTAACACGAAGTCCCAGTAATAGACAGCATTTTAGTTCAAACCGAAGCTGCTTTGTAAACCCACTGTAAGAATATACGTTTTGTAGATATTTTTTTAGATTGAGAGGTTATGTTTGAGTCTGAGCTGATAAATGCACCACTGCTAGCTTGGCGCTAGGGGTGCTCATCGTGCATGGGCCATTAGCCGAAATTAGCATTAGCACACAGGGTACTTAAACAGC